CCCTCCTGCACCCCAAACCCCTCATCCCAGAACCCGAGAGCCTGCACCCCCAGCCCAGAGTTCTGACCCCCCTCCTGTACCCCAACCCCCCTCCCACATCCTGAACCCCTCATTCCCGGCCCCACCCCGCAGCCTTCACCCCCGCACCCCAACCCTCTGCCCCAGCCCTGAGCCCCTCCCACACCCCAAACCCCTCATCCCCATCTCCGTTGGGTCGCGGGCATCAACAATTTTCTTCAACTGGGTCGACAGAAAAAAAGTTTGAAAACCACTGCATTATGGGGATGCTTATATGGCAAAGAGGATGTAAATGTGAAACTAAGTTGGTGTGCCATGTGCATTGGGCAGGGCAGGAAAAGGTGTAAATTACCCCCACTTTAGTATCCACACAATTTCAGAATTCCTTAAACCTGTCTCTGAGCTGAGGAGAAATCCAGCTACACAGGGGTATTGGCACAGTGGGGGATGAAGCCCAGGCTGTTAAGACTCACGGCTCTGGTTTGTTTTGGCAGTGGCAGAAAGGGCAGCCCCCTACACCAATGTGATCATGCCTAGCCTGTTCGGCATCATCTGTTTCCTGGGCATTGTCGGGAATCTCATCGTCATCTACACCATTGTCAAGAAGAAGAAGCTGAGGTGCAAGCAGACCGTGCCCGACATCTTCATTTTCAACCTCTCCATCGTGGATCTCCTCTTCCTGCTGGGCATGCCTTTCCTCATCCACCAGCTCCTTGGTAACGGCGCCTGGTATTTCGGGGCTCCTTTGTGCACCATCATCACCGCCTTGGACACTAACAGCCAGATCACCAGCACCAACATCCTGACAGTGATGACCCTCGACCGTTACCTGGCAACCGTCTACCCTCTGAAATCCACCTATGTCCGGACACCATGTGTAGCAGCCTCAGTAATCTGCTTGGTGTGGCTTCTTTCCTTTCTGACCATCATTCCCGTGTGGATGTATGCAGGCCTGATGCCTCTGGAGGATGGGACTGTCCGCTGTGCTCTCTTGCTTCCCAACCCCGAGACTGATGTCTACTGGTTCACGCTCTACCAGTTCATGCTGGCCTTTGCTATCCCACTGATTGTCATCTGTGTTGTTTATTTTAAGATCCTCCAGCACATGGCTACCACTGTGGTCCCCCTTCCCCAGAGGAGCCTCCAGGTACGTACCAAGAAAGTCACCCGCATGGCAGTTGCCATCTGCTCTGCCTTTTTCATTTGCTGGGCCCCCTTCTACATCCTCCAGCTGGTGCATCTCGGCATTGACACGCCTTCTGTTGCCTTCTTCTATGCCTATAACTTCGCCATTAGCTTGGGCTATGCCAACAGCTGCCTCAACCCCTTCCTCTACATTGCCCTGAGTGAGACCTTCAAGCGCCAGTTCATGGTGGCCATCCGTCCTGCCAAGGAGCAGTTCCGCAACAATAGTTCCATCAACAACAACAGCGCAACAGAGGCCAGTGTGTGCCTAAAGCTTGCACCAGAATCCACTCAGCAGACTCAATTTCTGGAGGACTTTTCCCCACACTCGCTGCCTGTGACTGTCGCTGTTCACTAGGGACTCTATGGTTACGCCAAAAGATGGCTTTGGGGGTCTTTTCTGGGAATGACACAAAGTAAGTAGGGCTGTGTATAAGAAGTAGCTTTTGACTGCTCTCAGTGAAGCACATGGACTACAGGCTTCCGCTTTGGAGACTCACAGTTGAGTCCTCTCTCATTACAGGGCTCTGCATTCAATCTACCCCTGATCTAAAAGCTTCTGCATACTGGTTCCTTGGTCCACTGAGGAAGGACTTGGGAATTCCTTTTAATTTCACACAGAACAATGGGCTCCTCTTGGAGGGAAAAGGGAAAGAGAGGGAGACATGAAGAGAGAGACGTCTTCGGAAGGTATTTTGTTGGCACTGTACGCCATGCCAGCCTTTAGCAAAAGGATCTCAATTGGGTCCTTACCGTTTGACCATTGTTTCTGGGAAAGAAGCTGATATGGACCCTCTTGCTTTAAGACTTGAACTTTTTAAAAAGACTATTTAAAAAAAGGGGGAGAGGGCTAGAAAACTGAGCTTACCGAGGCCTATGCTTAAATTCCAGAAGCAAAAAGACAAGGAACTGCTCAGCAAAGCAGCCTTCAAAGTGCCTGAGGAACAAACCCACAAGCATTAGTGAGGGAACTCCTGCCTTGCCAAGATCCTCTGGACTTTTTGGTGAAGTCCCAACCTGCCTCCAGTGAGCTATGCTGCTTGGCCGACCTATGAATATTCAGGAACTGGATTCTGGGGCCTTGACAAGCTGTCTCTATATATTTGCAAGCAAAATCAGGCCCTCTGGAAGATAGTGATTGTACGCTTCAAGGGATTTCACGCAGTTGAGCAAAGCTGCTGCTCCTAACACCTGATCTGTAGATAGTCATCCGGTTGAGCCGGCTTCCCTCATGCTGCTCCTTCAGTTTCCCTCTGTGCCCATCAGTCTGCATGTTCATTAAGGAATATCACACAGGTGGCTTTTTAAAGATTCCTCCAAACAAGCCAGCGTGCACAAAGGCAGATGTGTGTAGAGGAAGAGAATGGGAGAAGGTCGCTCTGAGAAAATGCAGCTGCTTAAGGGACTTCCAGAGGATAATGATAATATTACCAATTAAAACCAAAACATCCGTATTTGGAAAATGCAGCTCTATCTCTCCAGAGACTGCGAGGTACTTTCACCTATTAGAGGGACATGGATCAGCTAAGTGCTGGGGATTACATTGATAGACTGCACAGGAGTCCCAGGAGACAGTCAGGAAAGTCTTAAGCTGCTTGTTAAACAAGGAGCAAGTGACTGTTGTGGATGTGTTTGATGTAGAAGAAACATTACAAACACACACTGTTTCACATGCACTCCTACAGAGACCACACACGGCGCAAAGGAGCTAATTCACATCCTCATAATTATACACTCATCCACGCCGCTGCACACCTCCATGCAGCTACACACAGTCACACATACAACTACAAAACATTCTTCAGAAACCACGCACACATTTGTAGGCATGTGTGTGTGTGTGTGTGTGTGTGTGTATACACACACACACACACACACACACAACAAACC